GTAGGTCCAGATGGGTCCCAAGAGTTTGCATTTCTAGTAAGTTCCTTGGTGATGTTGATGCTGCTGGCTGGAGTTTGGCAGAGACTAATTTCCTGTTCATACCTTTTGTTTTACTCCCAAAAGGAAACTTGATCTTCTAGAAAAATAATGCTGGATAAGAAAAAGATCACTCAGATTTTTGTTCTAATTAGCATAGGTCTGGCCCCGCACTGGCTTCTACTTGTATTTTTCTCAATCTTGTCAAGCTTGGATGGGATGTTTGAGTAAGCGGTGTCTATTTCAGATCCTATTCTATGCTGTTGGAGCTAGGAGCAGTCATCCTAGTGGGGATTATTGCTAACATCTTTTTTACACTTGTTATGACCCAGTTGCTGTTAGGTTGCAAGCTACATCCTGTATGAAAGATGGGGAAGCTGAGGCACAAATTGGCCTAAAGTTTCATAGCTGGTGAGAGATGGCGCTGGGATTTGAACCTGTATTCTTTGACTGGAGCTTCTGCCCTTAATCATTGTGCTATGCCTGAGATCTGAGGAGACTTCTGGTAGAACCCTGGAAAGGAGCCCCCTAAGATATTTTTCAACTTACAGAAGATGTTTCTTAGAACCACTTTTTCTTTGCCTCGGGCCTGCACTGGTGGTTTGTAGCTGCTGTTTTGAAGGGGACCTGTCATGTGAAAGTGTTATCTCTGGGCACATTTCTCATGAGAACCATTAGTTTCCTGTGAAGTTTTCTTTTTTTTCTTGACATTGGTTGCCAACCCCCTACATCAGCACACTCCCCTTCTCAATCTTGAGTTCCTCATTTCCATTCGTCCCAGCTTTCCTGTCCCCTCCTGCCTTCTCATCCTTGCCCCTGGGCTGGTGTGAAGTTTTATTTCTAAACCCTCTCTGTTAGACACTAGAAATACATAATAACAATCATTAATTGATCACTCTTTACAGGTGAGGCACTTGTCCAGAGGTTGAAAAGTAAGTGCTTTTATGGGGCCCATAGGCTAGTGGGGTAGTACTATGTGGACATAGACTGTGACAGTGTGGTTTGTTCTGCAAAGTGCCACTGGAGCCCAGAGGAAGGCACACTTATGGATGTGCTGGGATAGGTAGGAGATTTCAGGGTATCCAGAGCTCAGGAACCAGCATCTGCTAGGGCACCAGGTGTAAGCATAGTGTTGTTAGGATTGTGGAGTATGTGAAAAGGATGATGGGAGAAGAGATTGGATAGGGTCATTAAGGGCCAGACTGGAAGGAGAGCTTAGATGTCCTACTGTTAAAGAGGGAGTCCATACCATACCCATGAGTATGGAAGTAGACTAGAGGCAAGGAGTACCAGTTAGCAGGACTGTTGCTGGTGAGGGACATTAGGCATAAGCCAGGTGGGGCAGTAGGTTGAAAAGGAAAATGGTTGAATGTAAATTGAAAGAGCTAGACAAGACTGGCTGAATCTGGTCATGGAGGACACTAGGATTTCTTCTGGAGTTTTGGTCAGTTTGCTGCTGTTGGCCAAACGTCGAGATACAGAGATGGTAAAAGAAAGGAAACTTTGGTTTTGGAAATGGTTAGGTCTTTGTGGAGCATAAGTGAGTATGTCTTACCTCGTGCTGCTATAACAGAAATACCACAAATGGATGGTTTTAACAAAGAGAAATTTATTATCTCAGGAGGCTAGAAGTCTGAATTCAGGGTGCCAGCTCCAGGGGAAGGCTTTCTCTGTCAGCTCTTGGGGAAGGTCCTTGTCATCAATCTTCCCAGTCAAGGAGCTTCTCAGCTCAGACACCACGAGTCCAAACGACGCGCTATTCTCCTGGCCCTTGTTTCTTGATGGTATGAGGTCCCTCTGTCTCTGCTTGTCTCTTTTATATCTTGAGATTGACAAAGATACAACCTAATCTTGTAGATTGAGTCCTGCCTCATTAACATCATAGAGGTAGGATTTATAACACATAGGAAAATCGTATCAGATGGCAAAATGGTTGACAGTCATACAATACTGGGAATCATGGCCTAGCCAAGTGGACACACATTTTTGGGGGGGGGATACAATTCAATCCATAACATTCCACCCTTTGGCCCCCCCCCAAATCCATGTCCTTGCCACATTTAAAAAACATTCGCCCCATCATATCATAGCAAAAATCTTAACTCCAAGTCCAAAATCCAAAAAATTCATCTGTGAAATCTAGAATACAAGTTACCTGCTTTCAAAGTACAATGGTGGAATAGGCACAAGCTAGATATTTTCATTACAAATGGGAGAAATGGGAGGGAAAGAATGGATACCAGGCACCAAGCAAGTCAGCAGAAGGCTACATTAGCTCTCAATGCTTAAAAATAATCCTCTTGTTTTCTGGATTCTGAGTGGAGGCCCCTTGGCCCTGGGCTTCAGTCCGCCTTCCTGGCCCACTGGAACAGCAACTCTGCTGCCTTGAATTTGGGTGGCCCCATTCTTCTAGTCAATCTGAGTGGTGACTCCACCCTTTGAGACCCCAGAGGTTGTATGTAGCCTTTGAGACTGAGACAGCTGTTCCCTGTGTTCCTTGTCTCTTGAGCTTCTGCTTCCTGGTTCCTTGGCCTCTCTGGCCTCACCGAGGCAGCCCAGGTCTGCCCTTCTGGGGCAAGTGTTCTGAAGCTCTGTAGCTCCACCCCGAAGTGCCTTGAAGCACGTCACTCTGCCGCTAAAGGCACTGAGCTCTCACTTCGTGGATAGGCTCCTGCGCCATCTAGCGCCGGTCTCCTGGTTCCGCTGCTGCTGTTTCTCTGATGTTGCTTTTTGCTGTCTGGGCCATCTCCAGTGTAACAGCTTCTGCATTTTCTTCTGAGCCCTCACCAGAATTGTCTGATGCCTGTAATTCCACCAACAAGTCTCTTCAAGGCAATCTAGGCTTTTACTATTAGGCACTTTAAAACTCTTCCAGCTTCCACCCGTTCACAGTTTCAAAACTGCTTCCACGTTTTAGGTATTTGTTAGAGCAGCAGCCCACTTTCTTGGTTGGTACCAAATTCTTAGTTAACCTAGTGCTGCTGTAACAGACATACCACAAGTGGATGGCTTTTAGCAAAGAGAAATTTATTCTTTCACAGTCTAGGAGGCTAGATGTCCAAATTCAGGTTGCCAGCTCTAGGGGAAGGCTTTCTCTGTCAGCTCTGGAAGAAGGTCCTTGTCATCAATTTTCCCCAGTCAAGCAGCTTCTCAGCGCAAGGACCCTGGGTCCAAAGGACACGCTATTCTTCTGGCTCTGGTTTCTTGGTGCATGAGGTCCCCCGTCTCTCTGCTTGCTTCTCTCTTTTATATATCAAAAGAGATTGACTCAAGATATAACCTAATCTTGTAGATTGAATCCTGCCTCATTAACGTAACTGCCTCTAATTCTGCCTCATAGGTAGGATGTACAACACATAGGCAAATCACATCAGATGACAACACAGTTGACAGTCACAATACTGGGAATCATGGCTTAGCCAAGTTGACACATTTTTTAGGGACACAATTCAATCCATAACAATGGATCTCAGGGAGTTGAATGAGGCTTTGAATTATAAGACACAAAAAGATTTGAGTGAAGAAAGTTAAAGATGGAATGGGGAGTACTGAATTTTATGGGGTGGCTGGCTAAAGGAAGATGAGCTCACAGAATACACTAGTGTTAGCGCTCATTCCCCTTGTTGAGGAAGCTCTGCTTTTTTCTTGGAGCTCCAAGTAGCATCAGGAACAGTCGTATGTGGTCGGATAGCCTTGACAGTAGCCACATCTTAGCCTTTCGGCAGTTCCCTCCTGTAGGAAGCCACTTGTTTCTCCTGTTGCTCTGGTGATCCAGTAGATCACATGGGGGAAAGAGTTACACAGACTGTAACAGTGCCCTTGTACAGAATGAGACGGGGTATCTCTGGAGGAGTCTCCAGCATGCTGTATTGCTTGTTTTGTGTGATCTAGTTGAGCTGTACAAATAAGCTGTGTTCATTGTGGGCTGGTGTAGTATTGTGAATGGCACAGAGCCGAGTGCCTTGTACCCTCACACCTGGATCGTAAAGATAGGCTATTGGGTCCCCTTGGTGCCTACTTGTTGCTTTGCATACCACCCTTCCCATTCAAGGCCAGAAGGGGTTGGGTGTAACCCCTGGTTCCTTCAACACCTTCTGGAAAGGGCCCTTAAGTGATATTTCCCATAAATATTCCAGTTTCCCCTTCTAGGCAAAAATTAATTCCATCAAGAAAAGAAACATACTAGAACCCATTTCCTGAAAGTTTGCTTTTGCTGTGGTTGGCATTTTTCTGGGAGGAGTAACCTGTATAGCCCCTGTCTCTGGGAAGTGGGGTGAAGCAGAGGGAGCAATTAAGCCTGCTGGTGTCAGTGCCAATGCCAGAATTGGTGGGTTGTGTTCTTTTGCCCTACGTTTAGATTAATAGTCTCTATTGCTCTAATGCAGCAGTTTTTTTCCCATGGAAAAAGCAAGGTAGAGAAGCTATGTAGACTAGTCTGTTTCTAAATGCCTCTGACAGATCATCCCCCTGTGGTTCCATTGGTGGTGGGGGGAGAGCCCTGGTGGCGCAGTGGTTAAAGCACTTGACTACTAACCGAAAGGTCAGCAGTTCCAACCCACTAGCCGCTCTAAGGGAGAAAGATGCGGCAGTCTGCTTCCTCCGTAAGGATTACAGCCTTGGAAACCCTACCGGGCAGTTCTACTCTGTCCTATAGGGTCGCTATGAGTCGGAATCGACTTGATGGCAGCGGATATGGTTCCAGGCATGTGTGCATGCCTCCATTTTAATTCTTAGACCAGAGCCATAAGGATGTTAAAACTAAAATCTCAAGGGGTACCTCTCGGGTAGCACTGGAAGGGCCACCAAATGGTCAGTGAGGAGGAAATAGTCCATGGTGACTGAAGCAGGAAGGATGGAGGAAGCATGGTTTGGGGAGCCTGATGCCATGACCTAAGTCTGTGCAGCCTTTGGAATTTCAGTTTTTTCTGCATATGCTTTCAGGCTAGAAGTAGGAAAAACACAAGTACAAGCTGCTTTTTCATATATTGTGTATAAAAAAACAAGACTCAGTGAGTTAGCTGGAACCGCTAGGGGTTGAATATGGGGCTGCTGCTGAGGAAGACACCTCAGCTCTGCTCCAGGTCTGCCACCAGGAAGGGCTGGGTGTCCTTCAGGGCCTGGAGGAGCAGGTCCTTGCAGGTCAGGTTCCAGGAAGGAGCAAAGCTGAAAAGCTTTCTCATCTTCGTTGGATTGGTGGCCTCTGCCCGCACTGCCTGGTACTGCTCCTCGGACAGAACCTTCCCATACAGGGCATCCAGCAACCCCTCCACTTCTGTGACCCGCGTTATGAGGGCTGCCCGGTGCTGATCCACAAAGTGCAATGCTGGGGGTGGGAAGGAGAACATGTGAGCTGGCACCCAGGGTAAGTGCTGGGGTCTGTCCCTGCTGAACGCTTTGCTTTCTTCGGAAACTATTCTGAACGCAACCCTAAGGGGATAATCCCACCAGGACTCCAGATATAACTTGGTCTTCCTTGCTCTCTCCCACCAGGCCTGGCTCAAGGAGGTTTGGCTGGGTGGGTGGGTGAGACGGGTTGGCCCCGCCTTGCTCTCTCCTGGTGCCCTTGGCGTGGCACTAGCCGTCAGGCTGTGCACGAACGCGTGGGGAGGGGCAGGAGATAGCCCGGGTGGGTGAAGGTGGGTGTGGAGGCCTCACCTGGCTTGGCTGCCGTCTGAACAGGGCCCAGACGGGCTGGTGCGGCTGGTGCGGCTAGTGCGGCTGGTGCGGCTCGTGCGGCTCCAGGGCCTGTAAGAAAAAGAGTCAAGTGTTCCCTGCCTACAGTATCGTTTCTAGTTTCTCTGGGGTCGGGGCCTCTTGGTAAGGATGCCAAGGTCAGGGCCAAGCGCGGGAGGCCTTCATTCCCAGCAAGAGGAGCTGTTTTTTAGAGGCTAGGAGGAACAGGAAGCGAAAGAGCGTGAAGAGGCAGACGTCAGGTTTGACGAGCGGAAAAAGTCTGGGGCAGAAGGGATGTTGCGGGAGGCCCGGGGGCCTGGACCCTGCGGGGGGTGGTGGGGCGCTCACCATTGTTGATCTCCTGCAGTCGCTCCGCGGTCTCCTGCATACCCATTTCGCGCAGCACGGCCGCCGTGAGTTCAGCGCCGTACGCCTCCAGATAGAAGCTGACGAGCTTGTCGGTGAGATCCATGGCGTCCATGGGCAGCAGCGTCCCCCGCGGGATGCGCCCGTAGCCTTCACGCAGCGGCACCGACAGCAGCTTCATCTTGAACTTCTTGAGCTCCTCCGCGGTCAGGTTCTCTAGCGCCTCCAGGATGGCGTCGCGCGCGCGCCCCATCGTTCCGGAGTCCGCCGCCGCTGCCGCCGCTCACTCGAGCTGCCCGCTGCCGCCGCTGCCGCCGCTCACTCAAGCTGCCTGCCCGCTGCAGCCGCTGCCGTCGACCAGGAAGTTTTCTCCGGGGCGGGTCTTGGAACTCCCCGCCTTCCCCGTACTCTCGCCTCCACCCCAGCGGGTTCGCCCTAGGGCAAAGGCTGCCCTCGACTACATTGTTAGTTCCTGCCCACCGAGGCCTCCGGGCTCGGGCCCCTGGCCATTGGGGGGCGCCAGGATCCCGCCCTCCGGCTGGTCCGCGAAGTCACGGAGAGGGGCTCGTGGATGGCGCTTGAGTCTCTGGGTTTGCAACAGCTCGCAAAGACCAGGAAACTGGACGCACTCTCACTGAGTTTCTTAGAGGGCCAAGGTTTAGAATCCTGGAATTCTAGAACCCTGAAATCTCCACATTTCCCTGAACCTTAGCATCCTGTTTCACATGTCACAGAATCTTCGAATAATAGAATCATACCAGCCAGAAACATGGAGCTCCCCAAATTCTACATGCTGGGGAGCAGTGAGGTGTTAAAAAAAAAAAAAAAAGCCAATTTGGGAAAAACCTCTCTCCCTTTTAGTTTCCTCATGTGTGAAATGGAGATAATGACACTCGCCAAGCCGACCAGGAGGGAAAAGAGGCCAAACAGGGCTGTCCCTCCAGATGAGAATATTCTCTACCATCACAAGTGGTTCTTGGCATCACTTCCCAAGAAATTCAGCTTCTGGGACCAAATCCTGACTTACCCCGGAAACATTTGGTAAGGTTTCAGTAGCTATCAGACAGCCCTGAGTGAGTGTCCATCCTTCAATCAGAATGTGAGCTGTATGTCCTTGTCTGTCTGTCTTGTTCATTGCTGAATCCCTGGCATCAGGAGAGTGTCTGGCACATAGTAGAGACTCAGTAAAATTTGCTGAATGAAGGAATGAATGAGGCTGTGATGCGTGGTGTATTCAAAAACTTCCCCCTATCCTTGTGCATGTTGCCCCACACAGGCTAGGGTAGTGCTGTGTGCCAACATCTTCACCATGGGTGGCACTTATGGTCCAACAGCTGGCGTATTCTGGCTCATGTTTGTTATCATGCTGGTTCACTGGTGTTTGTCCTTCCAGAATCTCATTCTGTGCTCTGCAGCCAGACGGATACTTCTTCCTAACCCATACGTGTGATCCTGGCCCTCCCCTGCTCAGAAACCTCCTCAGTCGCTCCTCAGTGCCCTCAGAATCAAGTCCAAGTTTCCTGGCCAGGACTTTAAGGCTCTCAGCAACCTCTTCAGCTGCACCTTCCATCCTGTTGGCCTCTGGACCCTTGCACATGTGGCACCTGCCCTCTGTTTGGCCTCTTTTCCTTGTCTGCTTGGTGAGTTCCTGCCCATCCTCCAACACTCATCAACAGTCACCTTTTCTAAGAAATAATAGAAATAATTTGAGCCCCTCTTTAGAATGTGATCCTTCACATGAATTATTTCTAAGCCTTACAACAATCTCTTTGAGATAGGGAATGTTGTTGTTAGCTACCATTAAGTTGGCCCCTTTGACAGAAATTGTCTGTCAAAGACAATTGGCAATCCCATGCACAATGGAACAAAATGCTACTTGGTCCGGTGCCATCCCTATGGTTGGTTGTGGATTGGACTGTTGTGATCCATAGGGTTTTCACTGGCTGATTTTTGGAAATGGCCTCATTTTACAAATGAGAAAACTGAGACTCAGAGAGGTTGAAGGAGTTGCCCAAGATCATATAACAGGAGTCATTTAGCTTCTGAATCTGTCCTCTGTGTACTCTTCCTTGTCTCCTCTGGGCAAAATTAACGACTCCTTGGCCAAGCCTCTAGGATGCCCCTATGATGCCTCTACCAAGTTTGTTTACTTGACTATTTTCCCACCAGACTGAGAGCTCCTTGAGGGCAGAAATCAAGTCTTGACCCTCTCTGGTCCACAATACCCAGCACAGGGTTTGGCACAGACCTGGCCTCAGTAAGCCTTATGGAATGACAGAAGAATCTTAGAACTAGAATCATAGAAACCTGCTCTTTTCACGTTTAGTTGAATCTTTAGAAGCTTTGGTGTTTAATCCACAAAATTTAAAAAATGATTGCCTGATTCATCCCCCACACAGAGCAGGGATCCTCTCTGCTGCTTGGCCTTCTGACTGCATTTCTTGAACACTTTTGTTCAAGGGCGGCCTTTACTTTAAGTAAAATCAATATAACATATTTCAGCAGAATCTTTGGGGCTGCAGGAAATTGCACCTAGGGGAGTGTGGGGCTTCCTGAGTGTAAAGGAGGTGAGAATGTGTGTCATGGTAGGTGTGACACTGTGCCCCTTCTCATCTTCCTGGATATCATTGTCCAGGGCTTTTCCTTTTTGGGCCCAGATTACCCCTGCCATGCAGCCCCAGTCACACTCCTGTTCACACACACATTCAGAAGGAGACTTCAAACATCCTGGCTGTGATTTTCCCCCTTGATATCCCCTCAGAAGAAGTGCTAGCACTTTGGTGTGACATTACAGGGAAGCAAGGGACAAAAGCTGGGGAAATGCAGCCATTCTTCTTATAGGACTGGAAGCCTCACTCCTGCAGTGGTTTCAGGCTGGACCTCAGTGTTCTCAAGCAATGCATTTTGGCAGGAGGACAGACTCTATGAGCACGTTGTAAATTCTGAAGTCAAATGAATAGAGAAGGGAACAAAGTCTTTGGAGAATCTACTTTATTCCAAAAAGATGTATTAAGGCTCTACTAGATGCTCAGCCCCATGGTAAGTGCTGGTGAGAGACAGTAATAATAATGATAAAATTAGCTTCCAGTTTTTGAATCTTATTATGTTCCAGGCACAGTGTTAAGCACTTAACACACATAATCTCATTTAATTCTGCCAACAACCCCATGAGGTATGTGTATTTATCCCCGCTTTACAAAGGAGAAAACAGGTTTTCAGAAATTGCTCTGTTAATGTGATAGTGATTTATATATTCAATGAAATCTTGATCAAAATTCTAATAGCCTTCTTTACAGAAATGGAAAAACCAATCCTCAATTTTATTTGGAAGAGCAAGAGGCCCTGTCTTAGTCATCTAGTGCTGCCATAACAGAAATACCACAAGTGGATGGTTTTAACGAAGAGAAGTTTATTTCCTCGCAATCAAAGTAGGCTAAAAGTCCAAATTCAGGGTGTCAGCTCCAGGGGAAGGCTTTTTCTCTCTGTCGGCCTTCTCATCAGTGCTCCCCCGGACTAGGAGCTTCTCGGCGCAGGGACCCCAGTCCAAAGGACGCGCTCTGCTCCCGGCACTGCTTTCTTGATGGTATGAAGTCCCCCTGTCTCACTGCTCACTTCTGTCTTTTATATCTCAAGAGATTGCCTCAGGACACAATCCAGTCTTGCCTTACTAACACAACTGCCACCCATCCTCCCTCATTAACATCATAGAGGCAGGATTTACAACATATAGGAAAATCACAGTACCAGGAATCAGGGCCCTGCCAAACTGATATACACATTTTTTGGGGGGACATAATTCAATCCATGACAGGCCCCAAATAGCTAAAGCAAATTTTAAGAAGAACAAAGTAGTGGGCACACACGTCCTGATTTTAAAACAAAATACACGGCTACAGTAATCAAAATAGCATGGTACTATTATAATAATAGACACTATACAACTGAGAGTCCAGAAATAAATCCACCCATCTATGGTCAACTAATTTTTGGCAAGGATGTTAAGACCATTCAGTGGGGAAGAGTCTCTTCAATAAATGGTGCTGGGAAAATTGGATTTCCAAATGCAGAAGAATGAAACAGGACCCATGCCTCACACCATACACAAAAAAACAATTAAAAATGGATGAAAGACCTAAACGAGGAAACTAAAACCATAAAATTCTTAGAAGAAAATACACCTACTTCTCACTTATTATCTTGTTATCTCACATTTCGCATTTATGACAATAGTAAAAAAATATGCTATCCAACTATTTTGCTCATTAATGATGTACATCTGGCAGTAATGAACACCAAGGTGTGAGGCGAGAGTAATGCTGGCTGTGATGGTTAAGGTTATGTGTCAACTTGGCTGGGCCATGATTCTCAGTAGTTTGACACTTATGTAATGATATAATTTGGCAGTTATGTAATGATGTAGTCATTCTCTATTTTGTGATCTGATGTGGTCATCCTCTATTTTTGCATAATGCCGTTTTTCACACAATAACCTGGTCTTTGAAACCTAACCATGTTGATAAGTGAGGAATAGGTGTGTAGAGGCATGGTTGTCGGGCCTAGCTTTTAACAATGGATTATCTAATAGGATAACAAAACCATGAACAGCAAAAGAGAAAATAGATAAATGAGACCTCATAAAAATTAAATACTTTGTTCATCAAAAGAATTACCAAAAATGTGAAAAGACAACCTGTGGATTGGGAGAATATCTTTGAGGACCATATATCTGATAAGGGTCTAATATCCAGAATATATATAAACTTCTGCAACTAAACAAACAAAAAGACAAATAATATAATTTAAAAAAAAAGTGGACAAAGGACTGGACTAGGCATTTTACCAAAGAGGATATTCAAATAGCCAACAAACACATGAAAAGATGTTTAACGTCTTTAGCCAACAGACAGATACAAATTGTAGTGCAATGGATTGCTTTTATATGGTCTTTCTCACCATGGTCTTGTAACGTCTACCAAATGACTGGGTGGGACTATGCAAATTAGGTGCTTGTGGCCCACCCAGGGGATTGGATAGCTTGCTAATAATACAAATAAGGCGCATGGCACACTTGTTGGGGTGGGATCATGCAAATAAGGTGTACGGAACCATAACGAGGGGATTGTTTAGTTTTGCCATCCACTAAACTTAAAATGAACCATCCCAAAGGTGGAAAGGGGGATCTCACTATAATCAAGAAAGAAAAGCCGAGAGTGGGGGCTTCCTTTGGACTCGGGGTCCCTGCACTAAGAGGCT